GAACAGACTTACCAGCCCACCCTTAATCTGCAGAGAAGTGGCTTAAAGAAGGATGACAACTTCAAACAGAGAGAAAGAAAAAATACTTCAAAATACTCTCAAGCCATGTTCTGCTCCATCTGGGAACTGAATAGATTGCTGAAACTACAGGATCACCTCCTGTCCATCTGGCATGCAAGAGAAGATTATAAGATCATAGAACCACAGAATGGTTTGGGTTGGAAGGGACCTTAAAGATGATCCAGTTCCAACAGGGATAGGGATCCTGTCTGCTAGACCAGGTTACTCTGAGCCACATCCAAGCTGGGATGGGACAGTAAGCTGAAAGTGGTTTTTATTTAAACCTCCCAGCACTGCCCAAGTAGACTGGTCCCTTTTCAAGGCAGAGCTACACTGTACTCGTGTGCTGAATCTGTCCTTATCTGGAAGGGGAGAAGAGAGTGAGTGGCGGAAAAAGGAAAGCCCACACCACACGGCTCCTGGCTTCCGGCAGATATGGGCGAGAGGTTTTTAAGAGGGAAGATAAGAGAGAAAAGGAGAACAAAAAAACCCCAAAAAAACAACAAACCACCACCTGATCAAAAGCTCTGCTTGCCCTCAAAAGCTGCAAAAACTGCTCAGTAACAAGGGTCTGAAATTCAAGGTGCTGACGCTTGCAGCAGGCGTGTTCTCCAGTACCAAGAGACAAGGTCTGAGCTGGAGGGGAGAGGAGGAGGAGGAGGGAGGGAGAGATCAGAAGATGAATGAAAAAGCCTCAGTGAGTTAAGCAAACTTTCATGTTAGGCAGATTTATCCCACACTTTCACGAAGGGGTGAGGAAGGCAGTGTGGGAACTCAAGGTGTTATTTCCTGGGGATATCCCCTCCAGACTTCTGAGCTGAAACAAAACAAGCTCAGTAGCATTGCCAGCTCTTAGGATCTTACTGCAAGCCTGACAACAGCTGTAGGTTTATTCTGAAAGCACCAGCCCCCAGATCCACATGGCAAAGAGAAAACAAAAAAAAAAAAAAAAGGAAAAATCAATTTAAAAAAAAATAAATTAAACAAAGCCCCTCCCATTATGGCTGAATGAAAAGCTAGGAAAAGGCCAGAATGTAGATGCTCTTATTTGTAAGGTAAATGGAAACATAACTAAATTGAATTCTAATCTTACATTCTTTTTATTACTACTATTATGGTATCACAGTGAAAATACCAGATCAGACAGACTGTGATCTGGGATAAACAAGGAATGGTGCCTACAGGGATAGGATTGGTGGTGATTGTGCAACATGCTCACAGCACAGACAATTTAAATCAAGCTGACAATCCCTCCTGGGAAAACCCAGCACCCACACTCAATGCAGTCACCAGCATTTAAATCAATCTTAGAAATCTGACCAAACACAACTTCAATGTTATTTGCAGAAGTAATGGAGGTAATGGAGGCTTTGTATCTGTATTATCAACCTTGCACCCACAATCCTCAGTGACATACAGAACACTAATGCACACAAACACTTTCTTGCTCTTCCTCGTTTTTATAACCATCCATATGCATTGTATGTGAGAACCAGAAAAAACATGCAACCAGCATGTTTAGAATGGGTTAAAATAAATCAAGTGTTTTCAAATTTGAAAGAGATTTAATAAACATAGAATTCACACTTCAGGTGTTTCCAAGTGTTCCAAATGTCCCAGGAAGGTAGAAAAAAAAGTATGTTTCTCATATAAGAAAAAAACTACATATTGCTCACTAATTTGAATAGTTTTGATGTTGAAAGAAAGAGTTAAAAGTTCATCTGATGTAGAAATAATGACTAAACCCTTACAGTGCCTCGCACAAACATGAACTGCAGTTGTGGATTCTGACACCAAACTGAATTCAGGATTGCATAACCTTCACTTCAGTATCAAATTAAATACTTAATAACTGGATTCAAAATATGTAATGCTAACTTCTCACTGATTAACACACTATACAGCAGCAAATCAGAGAGAAAAGCTAGCTTGGTTCTTCAATAGTTGTTTGCAGATGCACATAAGCTGAGGGAGCATGTCCAGTATTTCCAAATACAATGGGTCTGTATTTCTAAACCCAAGCATTTCTTAGGCCCCAATGTTACTTATCCATTAAAAAAATATATATAAAAATACAGCTACAAACTCTTATCAACTACATTTGCCAAAAAGTACAATCTGCATTCCATAAGAGTAACTGTTATCAAATGCATTTTCCATTTGTTTTATTTTCAGAGCATGATGTATCAAGAAGCATGTGGATATCTGCTCAGGATGTGGAGCTGTAGGTCCAACCTAGAACCCAATGTCCACCTGGAGACTTGTCAGTAAATTTAAGATGAATCTATGAAATGCACTCAAGAGTGCAAACAGATTCCATTTGTTTCATTTTAAATTAAAAAAGCACCATCATGGAGAATACCTCAGCAAGCAGTGTTTACAGCTAAAAACAGGATCTCAGATCAGGACAAGTGATAATGAAAGAAGAGCTGTCCCTGCAGAAGATCTCCACACGCTGCAAGCGAGCGTGGTCACTGGCTCTGCAACACAAGCCCGAGAAGCAGCCGTGCCCTTGGCTGCCTCTGACACAGCAGTTTACAGAGACCTCTTCTACAATCATCTGTTCAAACTCTGTCCCCTACCATGAATGTCACTGCTTGGAGCAAATCTGCTCCAGAGACTAAATATGAGCATCCTAACTGGGTATCCAGCTAGCCCATGCCTGAGGCCAAAAACCCAGCAGTTCTGGGAAACCACTTATCTGCATCTTCTAAATTTATCCTGAAACAGAGCTGGTCTCTCATAATCACTTACCAACCACACAAAGCTGTCCAGCACTTATGGCTCCTATAATTTTTGGGAACACTTCCAGATCAGGATTGCTGGGAAAGAAAAATAATTTCGTCTTGTATCTTACCAAATATTCTCAAATCTCTTCTAAATCTCTTCTTTCTCATCCTCACAGGTCTGTTTCCATGATCTCCCAGGACTACAATTTCCCAGTGGGAATACAGAAATATTAAAAAGCTGTTTCTATCACATGGACTAAGCCTTCTCTCTCCTCTGTATTCAGAGGTGGTTACATACAAAACAAAGGAAAGGAGGGAGCCAAGGAATGAAAAGTTTTCATAGGGATGTGGAGACACACAAGGAAGTCAGTAAAAGCTGGAGCATGATGTGGGGTGAGGAGGTGGAAAACAGGAACACAAACTCTTCCTGCTCCATCATGTTTACACCTGGTTGCCCAACCCTCCACTCCCAGTGCCAGAAAATACCCACAGCACCTCAGCATCTTTCTAATCATGATGTTAAAGCTATTAAATTATGATGTTTCAACTGAAAAACCCTACAGCCACAAAACTAGACCCTGTAGACCACTGGCCCTCACACACTGCTCCAGACATATCACTGTCTGTATCTAAACAGCATCTCCTTAACAAGCACAGGGCTCTCTGAGTCCTCTTTCAGTGCCTTTCTAACATTTCTGAATCCCTCTTAACACATTAATCTTGTGTCATCACTTGTAGATACGAAGTCAGCTGTTCTCCTGCCACACCACAGGAAGCCATACCTCAAATCCAGCTCCCCAAATAGCAATCAAATGGATTTGTTGCTTGGTTTGGAGTGGAAGAACAGATGGAGAAACATCAGTACTAATTCAATAAACCTTACAGCCTCTGATTCTCTTAGCCAGAAATAAAATGTATGTATATCATGTGACCGATTATGAGATCATGCTTAAAAATGCTGCTGAACATAAACTGGGTATTTCTGAAATGAAGCATTTGCTTAAAGGGCCTGCTAAATTTGGATGCAAAAAAAAAATGAAAAAGAAAAAAAGAAAAAAAAAGGGCATACAAGGCAAATCCTCTTGCAGCTCTGGCTCAGAAAAACAGAAAAGTGTATTTAGCTATAAAAGTAAAGTCACTGAAAAAGCATCCTTATTTGAGAGGCACCACAGAGATTACAGCCCAGACTTCACCAATTACTTATGTAAAATCAGAACAATAGCAAGTGATAATCATGGATGGAAAAACATTCACAAAACCCTTCTGCTACCAGTGAGTTATTCCTTATGTGTGTTAATTAAGTAATTTTAAATTTGGAAATACAGACTTGTACTGATTTACAGTTTCACAGACTGAGCCTCCCGACTGTTACCAGGAAATCTGAAGGGAAGAGCAATCCCAGATGTGCAGAAACACTTCAGAGCAAAAAGCAGAGAAACCAGCAAAAGTAAAGAAAGTTTACAGTAAAAGACTCAGAGACTGTTGCAACTCTGCAGGGATTAGAAAAGTGCAATTTTAATTTTTTTTGAAATGGGCTTTATTTTTCTCTTCCTTCCCTTTTTCAGAGGACATAAATCACTGTCAGCTGCAAAGGAACTACAAGTGTTTGGCTTTGCTGGGGAAAGAAATGTTACTAAACAGAAATAAAATCAGCAACCAGATCAGTGTTTGTACGTTTTACAAAGCAGCACTTCCAACCTCTCTGCAATCCCGCACGCTCCCGGTGTCTTGAAGCCATTTTCCCCACTGCAGCAAGAGCCCTGCAGAACATGGAGCTGGCAGGGGATTGTGTTACTGCCCTGAGTGCGCTGGGGAACAGCAGCTCCTGCACTCTGCAGCTGTCCAGCTCCTCCCAGAGCTCCAGCAGCCTGTTCAACAACTGTGCTGCCCCTGCAGAGCCAGCATCCTGCAGTCAGCATCACCCTGCTCCAACAGCGGGGAGAAACAGGCTCCAACCACAGACCCTTCACTCTGGAAACAGCTGAAACTCAAAGAGGCTTTGCAAACTGCACCATTTCCAAAGTTATCTTTACCTAAAAAACTTTATATATTTTTTTTCCCCTATAAAACTACTGCCTTTCTGCACTATCGTATTCCATCTGCCCTGCAGGACACTCTTCACTGCACAGTTTTCATCCTGGAAATAAAACAAGTCCCCTCAGGAATGATACACAACTGATGAATGTTTATTGATAATGAATATTTATTTGCTTATATGAATATTTATTAATGGATGCTGCTGTTGACTTTCAATCCCATGTGTACGGGCTCTGTGACAGCTCCTCGCTCAGGTCTCAGAAGAACCAGTCCATGCACCTTTCCTGTCTGAGGATGAAAAGCCAGTGCACACCCAAGAACAGAATACTTCCAGGGATGGAAAACTTACATAGGAAGCATCTTTTATTTTTCTTACATGAAGTACTGCAAAAGCTGAGAAGGGAAAGTTCATCAGATAAACAGAAATTCAAAATGTCACTAGTGAAATTAGGTTTTGAGAAAAATATTTACACTGCAGTTGAATCAAGCTACTTTGCAGACAAACCAAGGCAAAACTACAACAATGGAGAAGGTTTTATGTCTGCTCTTTAATAATTGTATCCTAATTATGGCAAAATTTCACCCCTTCCCAATGCTGGCTGGGAGAATCATTGTAGAAAGCATGGTCCTGCAAATTAGCAAGCAAGAGAACAATAAATTCCCCCCAAGGATAATGCATCACAAAATACACTGCATTCATTTAGTTGGCAGAGTGCAGTTTAATTACTTGTAAAAATAATGACTCCTTTGTAGGGGCCCTCACTAACATGCGTTGCTGCTCTGTGTTTTGCTGAGTGGGACGAGCTGTGTGCCAAATTTGTGTGCATGGATTATACAGCATGAGCATAGCAGAGTGCAGAAAGGAGGTTGTACAGTGTCCTTTGTGTTTTCTGTGTTTTGCAGCTCAGTATTTCTCCTCCCAACAGGGATTTTCAAGGCTCAATCCCATCTTATTGCAGAAAATGCTCAGCACAATAAAAAAAATCACTGCTGGGGAATCAGGATGTGCCCATTTTGTCACCATCACCCTCCTGTGGGGAAGGGCTGTGGCCATCCCCATGTCACTGCTCCAGTCAATCCCAATGCTCCACCACCATTCCACCCACTGAGAAAGGGAACCAGGATTTCCAGCACCCATGGACTTCTGTTTGTAGGGCTTCACAGGAATAGAAGAGTTTTCAGTCATGTGGCATGGCTGTCAGATGTTTATATATTTTATTTCTACCCAGCAGTCCAAGAGGAAAACAAATCACAACCAACAGTTTAAGGACATACCAAGAAGAACAGGAATTGGGACCTTGATGGTAACATTTCTGCAACTGCTTGTCTTATTTTCAAAGACAAACTGCAAAGGTCATCAGAGAAATGCCATGGATTGGGCCAGCAGCATTCCTTAAAGCCAATGGCACAGGAATCTCAATTCCTCTTCTCATTCCACTAAGTGAGAACTGCCATTCCAAAACTGGAGCCAGTTGTGAAATATTTCACCAAATACATTAATAGCTGTTGTAATAGTTTTGCTTACTTCCCATTTTTATTTAAATTACCAGCTCTACTCGCATTTGGGTTGCTGTATTTGCTGTGAGCTCTATAATCAAGTTTTGGCCAGCTTAAGCTTCCTGACAGTATGTAAAGCCTGTTAATGTGGTTAGTCTCACCTTGGAGAACCTTGCTGCAGTTACAGGATGAATTTGCACATCCCATTTTTACAATATAGGCTGTGAGATAATTGAGTTTTCACTGTTGACCTTGATGGAGAAAAATATAACACTGTTATCCTCTCTTAATGCAAGAGTGGAGAACAAGGTATTTGGGTATAGGTCCCATCCCACCCTGCACCTTCTCCTTCACTCACTTTCCATGTAGCTACCTGAATTTAAGGATAAAACTTAAATGCAATCACTCCAGAAATACAGATCATATTTTTTACCCCTCAACACTGCATCCAACAACTACAGAAAGCAGAATAATTTACAGCTTGTAACAGGGAATGTTGCATGATAACATGGACAAGACAGCAGACTCCTAAACACGACATTGGGTCACTCAGAATAAACCCCAAGTATACGAGAAGATATTCAGAAACACAATTCAGAAACACAAAGTTTATAACAAAGCTTAAGAGAAGCAGGCATCACAAAAACACACATGGAGACTAAATCTTTTCTCCTATACAAACAGCCTCCTGAAGATTATTTTAAGTTCTTTGTCTTTATTAGCCTCAGCTATTAAAGCTGGATCTCCAAACATTTGATGCTAAAAACCAACTTGCCCTCTTCCAAAGAATTCCTTGTAAAGCAGTGCAATAAATGCTCATGCCACTAGTTACTTGCTATGTGTTGTAAGACCTGGCTGTTTCTCAAGACCATTTACAAGAGACCTGTTTCTGTTAAATATTGTTCTTCTTTAAATATTTGAATTATTTCTTACCTTATTTTTTTTAACCTACTCTTTACAAGATGCTGCCTTATTTCAGTATAATGATCACTATTTAATTTAACTAAAAAACTCCCTCTAAAAAGTAAGAACACAACAGTCCACCACCACCACAATGCCTGTTAGCTCCCCTCTTTTGGGCAGTTGTGCTTGTTTGAAGAAAAGCTTTTTCATTTGTGTTTGCATAAGATTTGTCTTAATTAGTCAATATTACAGTGACTCACTTTGGACTTTACAAGACAGCTGGAAGCAGAATACTGAGCAACAAGAAAACCCCCCCAAAAATATTACTGCATTTCTCCATAACCCTTAGGACTGCCCCCATTTCCACTAGCAAGAATAGTAAAAGCAAAATTATACCAAAATTGCCTTTAAGGATGGAATATAGCACTCAGCCACCATTGAGTGATAATGTACAGCAAAGCCAAGCATGGTAGAGAATGGAAAACCAGCAGAGGAACCACCAAATCATCCTTACTCTGTCAGAAGTTGGTGCAGCTTCTGGTAGCCCCTCTCCAAGGCCAAGCTCACAGGCGTTGCCCCTTCGTTGTTGTGGATGCTGAGAGCTCCTCTTCCCCCCGGCTGCTGGAGCAGAAACCACGTCAGCCGCAGCAGACCCAGCCTCACCGCAAAATGCATCAGAGTCTCCCGAGGGATGTTCTCTGGGAAGGGAGAAAAACAAAGAAATGGGAATCTGTAGGCTTGTGGGTTAGGGGAATGTTATACCCCACATCCCCAGCACACAGCGGCTGGCAGGGAGCTGACAGCCCAAAGGAACCTGCAGCACCTGCAAAAACAGCCTGGTTGCCAATATCCAGGAGACACCAGTCTGAAAGTGAGGGACGTGCTTCGGTGGGACTGGAAGTGCTCAGGACCTCTCATGCTGAGATTGACCACAGCAGTCAATGTGAAAACCCCACCATTTCCTGAACAGCCACAGCCACCAGCAAGCCACAGCACACCCAAACAGAAGTGTGGTCAGGTGGGTTTTCCTGGATGTCCAAACCTCCTCCTTACAAAACCAGGACCAGGTTTTAGGGAGAGACAAATTTTATCTAACAGGATGCTGATTTACCCCAAGGCATGAAGAAGAAAAAAAAATAAAAATACATTTGATGCACATATCCAAAGCAGTTATAAAAGAGAACTGGTTAAGAACTCATAGAGAAAAAAACAAACAAACAAACAAAAACCAAACAAAGAAACAAAACCCCAAACGTTTTCTTTCCTGGTTTGATTATGCCTCAAGACCAGCTTTTCTCAGCTTAATACAGTAGCTCTGTCATTCTGAGAAGCAGCATTTATAAGCCACCAATCTCCATTGCTGCTTTTTGTATTTAATAACCGTGACCTTCTAATTTGGTAAAAGTCACTCTTGAGCCTGAGCTTTCATCTCAGAAAAATATCCCCCTACTCCAAAAGCTGCAGCCCTAGAATGATGCTCTGAAAAGCTTTAACCAGAAATGAGCTCCAGATGCACTGCTGAAATCCAGCATTTGCAGATCAAAGCTTGTTATTTCTGTATGAAAGGCAAAAGTATTTGGGTTAAAAAAACTGCAAGAAATAAAAATTTGTTCTTTTAATTAACAAAGGATTTCAGTATTGACTGACAGCAACAACAAAAACGCACCAACTGGGTCTCAGAAAGCCGTGCCAGTGAGCACACTTGGTACAAACCCTTTAGTATCACAGAAATGATTTATTGGGTTATTAATTTGGGTGGCAGCCAAACCTATACAACAGGTTTTAAAATGCATGCACATAATGGCTTTAGGATTTAATTTTTTTCTTTAAGAAGTATGCCCCAAGAGAAATCACTTCTTCAAAGTGCTGCTGTTTTTCTTGCTAATTTACTTACTTTTGGGACATCATTAAGACCTTTGGTGAAAAACAAAACAAAGCAAAACCAGGCAGCTCTCCCCTGCCTCACACACAATTTTTCACAACTTTTTGGATCAAATTCTGAAGAACTAATCTGTATGCAAGAACCAAAGGCTTTCTGGCACCATTTCTCTTCTGAATGACTCCAAATTAGGTCTCTGGGCTACAAACCAAGTCTTCCCCCAATCTCCTCTTGATTACCGTAAAGCAAAACCAAGCTGCCCTGAATACACCAGAGTGTCTGAATGGAGGTTCCAGCTGATCAGAGAAAAGGGAATGGCTGAGCTCTCCCAGAGACAAATTCTCAGCCTTTGGTTAAGTAATGAGAAGGATTTGGATATTAAATGTTATAGAGTGTAATGATTTAGAAATAGCACAACATGGAGGTTAATCAATGGCTGCAGCCCTGGATTTAAAGAAAAAAGAAATATAACAGAACATATAGACAGACACAACTGATGAGGCTGCAAAATGTGGATACAGGTAGGACTTATCCAGAGTAAAAGCCAATGCCCAATGTTTTACTCAGTATCTTACTCAAAGCACTCATATATGCACAAAGCTCCCACACTACCTGTACACTGAATGCCAGAGCCAAAATAATGAATGTGGTGTAATTCTTCCAACAGAGATGCAGGAGGCACAAAAGCACTTCTGTTAAACAACTGCCATCTAAATAAAGAATGTGTTCCACTGGGCTGGCCACATTCTGTTCTTGCATGGGATCTCTGTTATGGCTGCTTTGCTGAAAGGGAAAATCATCTTCCTAACTAGAATGGACAGTCTTGCCCCAGAGCTGAGCAGTGTAGACCTGCAAAGCATAAGCACAGATCCCTGAACCGAAATGCTTCCTCCTCCTGCAGCTGAGAGCATTACCCATAGGGAGAGGCATCTTCTCCTCACCAGCTCATGGTTCACCACTAAACACACACTACCAACTGCAAGTTCTGCAAGATGCAGGCAGATATTCCTCTTGTCCCTGAGCCAAATGGGTGCTTCTCTCTGTCTCGTATGTCCAAAGATGAAATGGCCCCTCCCAGTTGTCACAATGCCTCCCCAGTTGTCCCGATCTGCTGATATGACTGCACCTTCCTTCTGAGAACATCTTTCCTGTTCTATTGAAACAATCTTCTTTATCATGGAATCAGTGGACAGGGTAGCTCCAGAGTTTGGATGGAGGTGTCTGCAAACACAACTGAAGTGAATGTGGCCTGCCCTGATGCCTTTGGGCAGTGACAGTGTGCACACAGGATCTGTACAAGAGGAGGTGGCGTGCTGCCACAGAGCATATTAAACACACAGGCTCACCATCCACTTTTGGAAGGCTCTGCCTGACACAGAACCTGGCATGAGGCCACCCTAACAGATGGGCACAGATGATGGCAGCAAAGAGACAAAGTACTGTACATCCAACAACTGCAGGGGCCCCAGGCAATGGCTTTGGAAGGTTCTGGAGTGTGCAAAACTTGCATGGTGACAGTTAGAGAGGCATGTGCCATCTGTGGGCTGGATTAACTACTAATACATAATGAAAACACATCTGTTGGTGTGTGGTGGTGCTCAAAACTAGACAAGAGCTGGTCTGCCTCACGTAGGGACGTTTTTCTGGGTGGAGAGGGGAGGAAGACAGACAGATCCCTTCAAACTTCCTACCTTTGAAGGGATGAAGCTTGTTACACAAAATGCTGGAAATACAGTCAATGATTTTATGATCTTGTCATGCTGCAAAATGTCCCACACATGGAAGAATATCAGAAGCTTTAACATGCAAAAGCCAGAGCTCCTTCTCCTACCACATACCAAGCAAGAGCTCATCTTAAAATGGCTGACATCTGAATGTCAACAAGAAGCTTCTGGTAACTAGGAAATTGTGGAAATACAAGACACACGATACTGAAAAGGCCAAGATTGTTTTGTTTCTTCCTCGTTTCCTAGTAATAGGCAAGAGTTGAAACATATGATTATTGCCCCATAATGGCAGGGTACTCTAGTCCAGCTGGCAAAACACAAGACTTTGGATATATTATTTTTCTGTAATTTTTTTCTGCTGTGATACACGAACAGACAGTTTATCTGCGCAACTGAGGAACAAATTTCCATAGAAGACTGTCATATGTACTTTGCTAATAGTAAAGGATTAAGGTTTAAGGTTCTATTAGCACAAAACAAGTAAGCATTGAAGGAAAAAAAACCCCAAACTTTGGGTATGACATGCCCAAGAACACTAAATGAAAACTTTTATTTTAAACCTGACTAAATAACAAAGAAATAAAAAAAAATACACTACTGTTCCTTTTTTAAAATAACTTTCCAGATAGAGCAACCTACACCTAATGCTCAGTTTATCCTCCATGCCCTGAGACATCTCATGAGCCAACTATGGAATGGGGTAGCATTCCTTCATCTTCCTGTGCTCATGGACCTTTACTCGGTTCTCACCCAAACTCATGTACACTCAGCAATTTGGAAATCTACCATCACATCTGGTCTCAAAATCTTGCTTTCTGCTGGAAATGTTCTCACTGCTCATATCAATCCTTGAGAAATAAGGGTAAAAAAACCCAGAACCAAGCTGCCACCTCACACTGAGGTCCTGAGGAAGGATCCAGCAGACAACTGCACTGCAGAAAGGTCAAGGCAAAGTTGCTGTGTTTGGAGTTACGAGCTCAGTTAATAAAAAGATGTGCGGATAATTCCTTTCTTAATCTGATAAACAAGAAATTTTTCAAAGCACACCAAAAGATCTCCATGTCCCCATTCCCATTAATATCAAAGGGAAAAGGAGCACTCTCATGCCAACAATTTCTCGGCCACAGACTAAATGGTACAACTCAGTCTTGAGCAGCCCATTTCTGATGCTGTCTGAACAAGAACTGCTTTCTGCTTCCCATTTTCCACTGCAGAGGGCACTAAATATAGGTATGGAAAAGACTTTTTACATCTTATCAAGGACTGCTGCTGAACAGAGCACTTTGTGCTGTTGGCACTGAACAGATCGTGGTGATTTATGCCATACCATCCTTTATCAGAGAGCACAGAAGCTGAGCAGCAGACTGGAAAGGATATGAACCCAACCAAAAGAACACCTGTAACTATTACATTGAAAGGGTTCCAACAGAAACCATAACAAGAGTGCAGAAGATGAACAGATTAAAGCTCCCTTTCTGAAATACATCATCGGTACCATAACTTTAGCATCCTCCCATGGGAAAAAAGACTAGGTACTAATAACCAAATTCTGAAAGTTTTTTAAAGTTTTTTTAGGTTTTTTTGCTTAAAATAAGGTTGTTTTTTTGGTGAGTTTCTCTCCGGATATTCTCCCTTCATGAAAAAAAAAAACAACAATTCATGATCTCTATTCCCAGTGATATTCATGTTGTTCTCTACATTGAAATCCTACTGGTTTTGTACATGAAACTATTAAACCCATAATCCTAATACATTCAGACTATTTCAAACCAGGGCAGAGAGTTTCCCTCTATACCCACCCCCCAACCTGGAGAGGTCATGGAGTTCAGTTTCCCAAACAGTATTTATCGAAGGATGTTTATCCCGGAGCATTTCTGGGAAGCTGTACATACTCAACACATCAGTAACTGCAATCAGTTAAGTGCTCCATCTAATCTGATGGTCTCCTGGTTATCTGCTTGAAAACCTGGCTCACTATCTCACAGAAGCCCTTACACTCCCCGGGGAATTGCTCCATATCATGGTAATCACAGCAACCCTCTGCCAACATTAACCAGCTCCTGAAGCACCACCTCACAAAGCTCACACAACCAAAAATCAACCATAGCTCTGGGTTTCACCACTCACTTTTAAATAAGCAAAATGGAAAGACTGTTTCCTCAAAGGTTTCAACAGAATATTACTTCCAAGTTATTTTGAAAGTGATCTGTTTACTAGTGATACAATTAAGCTCTCTAAGCTTTTCATACCTGAGCTTCAGATCCACCCTAATTTTTTTCATCCCACTTCAATATAAACAAGCCATAATCATTACTCATACCTCAAAATATTCAGTTGTGGTTTTCTAGTTAGCTTATTTTCTCTTCAGTAATTTAAAATAGAACATCATAGTCCTGTATTTACATTGCATACATCCTCAGGATATATATTAAATTTTGTTTTCTAGACATAAAGTGTAACAATCTGTTCCATTTAGACAGCTGCCTTTAAATGCCACTGAGAACAGTAAATAGCCCCACTTTTGACAGCAGTAACAACTACGTTCTTTAGAAAGTTACAGTGCAGTTGTAATTATTAAGACAGACATGATTATATGGCACCTGAAAGAAATGCTGTGTTTGGAATACCACAGTAACAAGACTAATCCTTAATTATGGATATTCTGAAACTGTGGATTCCACTGGAGTTCATACAGATAGATAACTAAGAGCATGGCCCAGGAACTGCTTGCTGAGGAGGGACAGTGTATGCCAGGTGAAGAGCACAGCTGTGTCTCAGGGACCATGCTCTTCCCCAGCCACACACTGTCCTGAGCTCTCTTCTGCCTCCCAGTTCATGCCTAGCTTGAGCATGGTTGAGTACACAAATGGTTGAGTACCCTCTGCCTGTCCCAGCAGGAGAAGGGAGCCCGAGGACCTCTGATGTCAGGTGCTCCCATGGCCAGTTCTGCGGCTGTGTCTGGTTAGTGACACAGCACATGAGTTCAACAGCCTCAAGAGACTCAGGTGGGTGAAGCTTTCCACAGCTCCTCTGCCCTGTGGGGTGACAGCAAGTGAACTCCCTGCCCTCTGCTCGAAGCCAAGGCTGGGTGCAGGCAAAAGCAAGGAGAAGCCTCCACACAAAACCACTCCCTCCTCAAAATTCAGCCTGGAGCTGTGCTCAGTGGTAGATTTTCTACCCAGCTTCTGCCTGCAGAAAGCCATCACTTCCTAACTTTTGCCTAACTTTAGTTAGGCTCCTACTCCAGGCCTTTGAAAAACTGACCTTTAAATGTGTTTGACAACAGCATTCTCCTCTGAGCAGCAGTTCCCCATCAGGCTGTGGCATTCCAGGAGCTGGCGGAGGCTCCCGGCTCGCTCCTGCCTTCAGAGGTTTTGCTGAACAGCAGCGTTTTGTTTCCAGCCCACAAGAGCCCATAGAGACGTGCCAGCTCAGAGGCAACGCTAAACATCTTTCAAGAAGGGATCTGACATTTTCTTTTGTTCTCATTTCTATAGTATTTTCTCCCTCGAGAAGGTTATTTGAAGTTATCTGGTGCTGACATTTAGGGAAATGTGAAGCATGAATTGCAATAGCTGTTCTTAGGTAGTGAAGCAGTGCAGGACAGGGTGTCCCACTGCAGGCATTGGCCAGCATGTGCCTAATTGTTCAAATGTTCCTACAGTGCAATCCCTGCAGTGCTTTTCTCTCTCCCACACACAAATCAACACACAAGCACCAGTATAAGGGTGCTATATGTTAGTACAGAGGTTTTTCTAATCTAGCGCTCCATCATGAACCAGGGACATCTCTTCCATCCCACTCTAACAAAACAGAGTTTTGTGACCAAAAGGATGCTTCTGCATGCAAATCCTTCCTGCCACAAACACAAAAATTCCCCCAAATTCCCTATGTGTAAATATCTCACTGCAAAAAAACTACCAGATAGCTCTGGAACATATTTTATATCACTAATATTCTTCAATTAAATTTGCATTTAGTGACATTATAGTTATTCACTTCTATCTATACACACTTCACCACAAGATGCCAAAACACCCAAGAGTTACAGAATATGGCACATCAGAGCTTTCTCTTCTCACTGTGGATGCAAATCTATTAACATACAGAGCCCTGCATAACCACAACTTCCTGGCACACCAGCACACGCTGAGGAAACCAACGTAAATCTTATGGCCTGATTTCCCTAAGAGCTGATTTTCCAAAGAATAATCAAAGTAAAAAAGAGAAACCAGATCTCAGACTTCCTGCAATATCAGCAACAATTCAGAGTTTCAAAGTCTTTGTTAAGATCACTCTGATCATATTTGTATCACTTAAACCAGAAATGTCTGCATTATCACAACACTTTTCAAATGCAGAAAGAAACATCACTGACTTCCACACAGAGGAAAAGAATACCAAGTGTTTATCTCTAGTGTTTATCTCCTTGTAAACATATGACAGCTGCTGAATCCCTATCAAGGATCCATTAAATATGATCAAATATTTTAATGTCTGCTAACATGGGAATTGTCTCCTTGTATTGAGCATTACAAAAGCAGACAGCAAGCTGGATAAAAATAAAGCAGGAAAATCTGTGGAAAACCCTATTGCAGTGACCAGAACTGAACCTGCTGCACCCAGCCCTAGTGTTTGTGCCATTGCATCTTACAGAAGATAACAGATGCCTCACAGTCACATTCCTGAAGTGAAACTGTTTGCCGAAATACCCTGAAAATTTACAGCAAGGATTTGAACATACTGGAATTAGTCTCCTGGTCCCACATGTCTTTCCTTTTACAAAACCCCTTGTGACAAAAGAAGCAGAACTGCAAGGATACAGACACACCACAGCACCCTGAACATCTCAGCACTTCTGCTTCAGCAGCCACAAGAGACTTAGGGCCAGCCTTGGGGTTTATTTATAAGCTCTCAGTAGCCCTCACTGCTGTGGTTAAGGGTTAAGTTTTCCCATCCTTCCCTTCTTTTATTTGCAAAATTGTCCAGGCTTATTTTGGGAAACTGCAGTGTTAACCCATGCTGTGTGCAACCAGGGATGTGATATAAACCCTCAGGGCCAGAGCCCTGAGTTCTCCAAGAACAATCACATGTATTTTTCATGTTACAGTCATTTTGCACCTGTGCTACAAAACAAATATTTACTGCAAGTGCCAAATTTCTGCCACAAGGATATTTCCAGGAGCATCAGATATTCTACACAGAGGCTTCTTTCAGAACAGAGCACTATACTGATACACATGCCACTGTTACACACATAAAAAAACCCTGTCAGGCTTTATGTGAAAACACTGACTGTCAGCTCATGCTGTTTCATATGAGAAGACCCAGAGAAAACATGACTTATGATTATATATTTTATACCTTACATATTTTAAGGAGGCTGAAGGGCAAGATATGGGGTGTGGATGGACATCACATCCCATCTCTGAGCACAGAGGCCACCACACCCTTTGGAAGGTACATGGCAGGTTCCCAAGGCAGGCAACCCTTTCTCCCAGGCTTTTTAGCTCTCCCCAACCCTCAAATCTCACTGTGTCCCACAAGTCCTCACCGCTCAGGGACTGGTCCGCTCCCAGCACGTTCCATTCTGCAGGCAGCTTCAGGTGTCGAAATGCCAAGGCCACCTTCTCATCCAAGAAGTCCACGTCTGCAGCAGGTGGCCGTGACCGGTCCAAGAAGCGTGTGAAATTCAGCGCCTGCTGGTTGCCAGCACAGCTGGCCAGAAACTGGGCGGCATCGTAGGCTTCGTCCTGGACAAACTGGAAACTCTCTTCTGCCACAACCAGAACGGGGTGACCTTCTCTAGAGGCACAAAGTGCCACCTTCACTGTCTCACAGCAGTCATGGCCTGCAAAACAAAATTCAGACAAATGGTTAAAAAAAAAAAAATAAAATTTGCATGGGCTGAGGAAACACAACTGAGCAATTCCTTTGGCATACACACACACACTCTTTGCATTAAATCAAATAAGACCAAGTTATTGAGGGTCACAACTCGAAAATAATGCTGTCTTTGGAATTTATATGTATCATAAGAGATAAGTATTTGTTATAGATTTTAAAAGGAAAATATGTATCACTCTTCTCTGTCCCAGTATAAACCAAGAACTATAAGCCACCCAGGCAATTTATATTCAGCAACAAGCAATCTCAAGAGTTTTAAGTAATTTAAGTAAGAGATTTTGCTAACGTACCAAAAGCCAGGTTCTACGGACAAACTCTTCTTTTGCAGCTCTCCAGTAACTCATCAGAAACTGGAATCTGAGTGTTGCAAAGCTACATACTCCAAATGCTGTCACAACACTTGGCTTGCACTGAAAACATTGAAATTCCACCTAAAACAAAGATCTAATGGCTATGAGAGCACGACCTGCCTGGGCATGCCCTGTGTGTGCTCATTGCTGCACCTGCCCCTTGCATTTGGGTTCACATGACAAAACTAAAAACTAAGCTGCTTCTGCTAAATAAAAACATGGAAATGGCCACTTTCCATATTTACAAAACAGGAGGGTTGGAAGTTTGGTAATTTCATTATTTATTTAGGCGAGGGGAAACAGGACAAAGGAGGCCCTGGCATGGCAGCAATTTCATTGACTCAGAAACTTGAGGGGAAAAAAAAAAAGCAAACACCAAACCAAACCAAACACCTTTTTGGAATTTTAAAAGGAAAAATATACTATGTGTTCAACACAACCAGAACTTGTAGTTGTCAGACATGCCCCTTCAATAATAAGGTTTGTGTTTCAAGTTCACTGTGTAGCAGTTTCTTGTTCCAGCCTCAGACTGACGTCATGGCTGTTTTTGCCAGAACAGCGTGGACCCTGCACTAATTACTGGAAAAGCTTCTTTTTTGCCCATGACTTCAGCATACTACCACATTCATGAAACCCTGCTTAATTAAATACAAAATGACGATTTATTTTTAAAGGCTTGAAAATTCAATTTAAGCTCCCATTTGTGGTCAGTGGGAAAGTTTCCTTCTTCTGTTGGGTCCTTTTGCTGTTGATTTGCCTGACAAAAGGGAAAATATGTCCCTAATCTTCATGGTCTTTCAGCCAACCTCACAAATCTGTTCTGAGGCTTTTGGCATCTGTACAGATTTTGTCTGCTGAAAGAGGCAATCCTGAAGTTAATTGAAAGGTCAAAACTGCTATTAGGACACTGCGGGTAACACCAAAATTGTCAGAGATGAGGCTGTGGCTTCCTAAGGAGAGCAAATGCAGCTGGAAAGGTATCAAAGGCAAGTGGAGAAGGGGAGGAAAACACACATGGATGTTGCTGCAACTGCTCAATACAACCAGGATGTTCTGGAGCTAAAAGGTGAGAAAACTTCTTTCCTTCCAGCACCAGATGGCAATTAGCAAGAGGATGATGTGAAAGCTGAAGGAATAGATTTAACTAATTTTGTTGTTTTGAACAGAGGTAGGAAGAACTTCTTCTACTGCTCTTGAAAATACTGAATGAAAATGTGCATTCTAATAATTACTGTATTAGTACTCAGCTGCTCAGATGAAATTCACAGATTCCACACATCCTGACAGCAAAAGCCCCCAATGTTCAAGGGAGAAGTGGGGGGGGAACTGTACAACTTTGGAGGAATTTGCCTTTAAAGACAATTAGAACTGTGCATGCCTCCCCCTGCACCTTCTTGCTCTGCTGATCTTCCTAAGGACATCAAATACAGAGCAGGGAAGACAGACATAATTTTGTTTCCAGTCTCCATGAAAGCAGTGATCTCTGTGCCACTGTGAGAGGGCTGTGCCAGCCTACAGGAGCTGACTCAAATCCTGTGAGCTGGGCTCTCCCTAACGCAGAGCAGCGAAGGTTGCTAGAATGCAGAGCTTAAGAAAAACAAACACAATAAAAGCCTTCCCTTAATAGCATGAGGACAGCTAAACCTTTGATTCAATTTTTAAAAAATATTTTCTGTCTATTCCCATAAGAATCCCATCTGCAGAATAACCTAGAATACAACTACTCTGCCAGCAGACTTTCAGGATTGAAGCAGCAGGCAAAAATGGCCCATGAGCAGCTACAGAGAAACTATTTGGGATAGTCACTTCCTCGTCACAATGCCAAACAACTCTGCTGTGGGACAGCAAAGGCTCCTCCATCCAGACAACAACTGCAGAAACCTCTGTCAAGACGTGTGGTCTCCTTAAAGCAGCACATCATGGATGTACACAAAGTTCCCTTGGATGGAGCGTGTGTTAACACCAGCTGCAAAATGCAACACAAGGGAAGGTGATAAAAAGACCATGTCCTGACCTGTGGCCAACAAGGATTCTACTGAAACTTCCCCAAATGTTGAATGCAGCCTAGAAGAGAAAGTGACAGACCTGGCAACCCATTTTTAACTAACAGGGTCAAACAAGCATCAAGCATCGTGCTAAATCCTAGCGAATGTTCTTCAGAAGGGCAACTGCTTTCAGTGCTTTGATGTTCTACTTACTCACATTTGAGAAGATGTCAGACATGGAGCTAAGAACGTGGGACAGGTTCTGACTTCTGGCAAGCAGTTCAAATGAAAGGGGAGCCAGTATGTAACAAGAGCAGACAATACTAGAAAGATTGCTCAAGAGGTCTCTGCCCCCCTGCTTTGAAATGGCTACAGGAACAATGTGATCAAACATGTCCCCAATACAGGAACTTTCTGAAGGAACCATCAGTGGGAGCAACACTTCTCACCACATCAAAGATCCAATGGCTTGGACTAATGTCTATATTTACAGCCCTTGTCCCAGAGCATTACCAGAAGGGAGCTGAGCTCTCTGGACTCTTGGGAGGTGTTATCACTGCCAAACCAAATCTGTTTTCATGAGGTGAAGTAACTCATCCACAATCACAGAGCTCCAGGCAGTGCCAGAACAGCCTGCATTGCTCCTGTGCCTCACCTTTCTGCTCTCTCTGGCAGACAGCAGGGCTTTCTTCTAACATGGGTTAAGCACCAAGTTATGCACCAGTCAAGCATCAAGTTATGCACCAATTCAAGCATCAGGGTGGTTCCATCACCTGTGTCCATCCACTATGGACTGCTGTAATCCCCTATAGACCTGCCTAGATACGGAACAGAAAAATGTCTGACACTGAAAAGGGAAAAAGGAAAAACTCTGGGTGTGTCAATGGGTTGGTTTTGATGTTCTGGTGGAACAGAGTTAATTTTCTTTGCAGTAGCTAGTGTGGGGCTGCTTTGGATTTGTGCTGGAAACAGTTTTGATAATCCAGGCATATTTTCCTTCTTGCTGAGCATTGCTTATGCAGACCCAAGGCCTCTTCTTCTCACCCACCCCACCAGTGATCAGGAACAGGGCACAAGGAGTTAGGAGGGGACACAATAAAGACAGCTGACCCCAAGTGACCTGATGGATATCCAGACCATATGGAGTCATGGTCAGTGCATAGAGCTAAGGAAAGAAGGAGAAAATCTCCATTAGATGTGATGGAGCCCCGAGGATGGCTGAACACCTGCATGCCCATGGAAAGCAGTGATCTAATCCCTTGTTTTACTTTGTTTGCATGTGGCTTTTGCTATTAACCTGGCTTTATCTCAACTCACATTTTCTCACTTTTGCTCTTCCAATTCTCTTCCCCATGGCACAAGAGGCAGCTGTCTGGGACTTAGTTGCTGACTGGGGTTAAAACACAGAAGTCAGGAATAGGAATGAGCCTATTTTCAAAGGTTTGCATTTCCACAGGCTGAAAACACAGGTAACTGAATAAATCACACAGATGAGAGCACCTCAGAGAAGGGATGAGAAATCTCCATGCTTTACAACACCATCTCAGACTGCATGGCTACACTTCCCTTCTTCATCCATTTTTTTTTGCCACAGGTATCAAATGTGGTCATTTGTGTGCTGCCTCAACTGTGATAAAAATCAAACAATACATCCCTTAATTCCAGCAACATTGCATTTCATCCCATTTCTCCTTTTACTCCTCAGTTACTTTAAATCTAGCTTGGAAACAACTCTTGACTTGAAGCTGTTTTGAGAAATACCAACAGATTGCAGGAAAATACAGAAATTGAAAAACTATTTCAGTCTATGCAGGGGATGGGTACAGCGACTAATTCTGCTGCTATAAAGCAAATTCCTCATCTACATATGAAACCATGCTTTCAAAATTATTTTAAATGAGACAACAGCTCTTGAACTGAAGAATTCTTTACTGGGAATGAACGGGGACACTTAATGAAGCTTGTTCTGGGGAAAATACAAGAATGAAAAATGAAGACATGGTGCTCTGGTCTGTCTGTTCTTATCCCTGAAGAGATGAGATGTATCAGCATGATACCAGTGCTTCCTCTAAGTGGTACTGCTGCAGATCAGCGAGCATCAGAATGGGGAGATTTCTCAGCTGCCAGTCATTAGCAGGTAAGTTAAAGTACAGCTTAGACCTGTCCATCAATTGCTACCTGTGCCTGTGATCTGGGGTGCAGTTAAAAGGGCATCACCTGAACCCTTCAGACTTTTTCTTGTTTAACAAGGCCTACATGGAGACAAAACACCCCTAAATAGAGCTTTATAAAAGATGATTTCATTTCCTACTCCTCCAAAAGTGGAAATCCTGTCCAAACCTCCTATTTTCAGAATTGACATTGGAGCTATCAAACAATGGGCCCCCAGCCTGGGCAGCTATTTAAAGCCCTGCTGGAAGCACATGTTTGGGTTTGCTTGGTAGGTGATTAAAGACTAATTGCATCCTCCAAGTTACCATGGTGGAGCTGGGTTGAAAGAGGTCTCACAGAGAGACTTAAGGACAGGAAAACCAGACAACAAATGCTGTGAACCTCATGAAGGATCTCAGATTTGCATCCAAGAGATGCAAATCTGATCTGGTGGCTTG